AGTTTATAGATTGTATTCAGGGATTGGATCCATTCATAAACATGGAGGCAGTTTCTAAAAATAGAACATAGAGTCAATAAAATTTTTTGGCTTTCATCTCAAAAACTAAAGCAGTTAAAGCAAAACTGATATAGGTGAAAGTGTTAACAGGTTATAGGAGCACTAGCTGTCAAAATCATATTCACTGATTTGACTCAAATTCTCATATTTGATTTATAACATACTAAAACACATATCCAACTTATAATAAGTCTTAAATAAACAGTTACCAGTGCATATACTAGATAATATATAACAGAAATTTTTGTGTATTTTAGTCTAGACGCCATCTAATTAACTATCGAGATGACCCCGAAAACTACCGACAGTCACATAACACGATATAAACATAAACATAGATATAAATAGACATGGTCCTCGTGGAAATGGATTTTTCTATGTCTATTTGATTTCATGTTTCAGGTTAAAATTATTTTTTTTTTTTCAATTTTACCTGTATAGGAATGTTTTTTTTTTGTGGATCGAATTAGTCAATCAAATGATTTACCTTTGTTTCACTCTCAATGTTGACATTCTTTTCTTTTAATAACTGAACATGAATCAGTCATGTGTAATTCATCTCTAGCTAAAGGATTAAATTTAAGTTCACATGAATATGGTCTCAATGAGGTCGAATTATTCACTTGCAAGTGAATGATACATCATTGATGTATCTTAGCTTATTTTGACAAAATTGAACCATACTGGCTACTAAAACTGAATAATTATTTCACTATTTCACTTTCATTAATGATTGAACAAAAAAAGTCAGAATCTAAATGTTTTAGGTATCTCGTAGCTAGTGCCCCTTTAACATCTACCTGTCAAGTAATCTTCAGACCAATGGGACAACTTATTGAGGGGTCACTGTCCAGAAATATTTAATTTTTTGGAAATTTACAGTTATGGGTTATGCATTACCTTTAATATATGTTATAGAATGAGAGAAATTGTTCAGCAAAGTGCAGATCTACAAATAAGTCAAATGCCTAAAACTGAAATTACAAGTGAGTGATATCAGACTCTCATGAATCTCTTGTTAAACTTTAAGTTCAAAAGGCTATTTTTTTTTATATTTTCTTTTCTACCACAGCTAAATAACCCCTTGTCTGAAGGAGTCGGAAAGACTCTTGTTTGAGAAAGGATTTGTATAGTAACTATACAAATCCTTGGCTTGAGGGATATCCCTCATTTGGGGGGTTGTTCCCAACGGGTTATCAGGATCAAGGATCACTAAAAACACTTTTGCCCATTGTTTAAAGCACAGACATATATACATGTCTGTTAAAAGTGATTGCTTCAATACTGTTCCAGGGTTCTAATCACCAGCATATAGATTTTTTTTTATTATTTCTACAATTTATTTTCAACAAATATTAGGAGGTGAATCTTACCATAATTTAAACAAGAATTTTTTTTTAAGAATTACAAACTTTTGTATATGAAATGCATTCTACTTACCAGATACATACCTTAGGTCAGTCAGTGCCCCCCCACCTTTATGCAAAGTTCTGGATCCGCCACTGGCATATTACATGTGGTCATTTCTCCTGTCAAAAAACTAATGACAAAATTCAGGTCCTTAGTTCAAGTGTCAAAATTACAGGTGAACTTAATTAACAACTGTTCACTACTTTCCATTTTATAACAGGAAATGGAATGATTATATCACCAGGTAATTTTAACACCTTGGATAGGTATAAAGTAGATAATCTTTGTGTATTTTTTTACCCATGACTGTGCAAGAACCTAATAATTTGGTCACGGTGGATAAAACCCCCTCATCATCATGTATTGTCATGCAGACATACTAATTATCTGATTATTCAAAAAAAATTTTTTAGGAAATTAAATAAATTTTTTTGAACATGGCATTAAAAGATCCTGGTCATATCTTAAAACTGAACAATTGTTTTCCAATTGAAGTAAGGCCAGGGTTAACATTTTGAAGTATTAAAATCGTTTAATAAAGATACACACTTAATTATAATTAAAAATGAAGATACAAAAATAATGTACAAGTGAAATATAAATTTGATAAACTAATTCACCACCAATGAAGTAAATATTTCAAGGCTATTGTTAACTGATTTTTCAGAGACATGGAAAAGAAAAGGGAAAAAAATCTTCAAAACTGTTTATTTCATAATTTTATGTTTTAAAGAAAAAATTTCAGACAAAAATGCAAATGATATTTATTTTTAGACTTTTTGTCATGATCCTTAATCCAATATAAACTTATGATAAGGCAAAATAAGGCCATTATTTCATTTCAGTACAAAATATAGTTTAAAGAGGAATAACTCTTGCTTTTTAAATTATAAAGAAAATGTTTCAAACATTTAATTATAGTACAATACTTGTGCAGCTAAATTCATCTACACATAGCTTACAACTTCTGTTTAATTTGATCATTTCTACTTTAAAACATGTTTTGTTTTATGAAAAAAAAGTTAAAAATTGTGCACATCCTAAACATGGAGGAATATGTGCACCTGCATTGGCATAAAGCAACATATAACCTGAATCAATATAAAAGAGGGAAAAAAAACTTTTAAACAAGTTTTTATATCTTTTTTAGTTCTATATGTAGAGTAGGGTATTATAATATATTCTTTCAAAAATTCTGCAGTAAAGCCTATAATCAAAGGAAAGAAAAAATAATTAGAAATAGATAACATATAAAATATTTGTTGACAAACAATGATAGGACTGAAAAAATGTTGACAGGATTATTCTATATCATTTGTAGTTGTTTATGCTGTTGTGATAATTTCCCGGGCAACAAGGTTGCAAGAAGTATGCTAATCTAATGCCCCCTTGACCATCCTTCTATCCTTCCTATTTTCATTTTGCATTCTATCTTAAGTTTATTCTTTACAAATTATATGAAACTCATACACAATAATAAGAACCAAAACTCACAAACAGAGTTAGAATTTGGGCAGCGAGTCAGTTACCAACCTAGAGTTATGCCCCTTTATAACTTTGAAAACTGCAATTTTTTTTTTCCTCACCAACTTAATTTTTCAGTCCATCACCACTTGTAGTTGCCTAGCTTATACCTTCATATTGAAGATTTTGATAATCAGAAAAATGTGAAATGTGAGACCCATTTTATCTCAAGCAGTCAAGGGAGGCTTGTAAAAATTGATGGACTTATGAAAATTAACAATATTGTTGACAGGATAGCCCCTTCATTTATATTTTATCGACAATTTGAATAAAGCTTTTGAACTTCAAAAGAGTTGGATTATCAGAAAAAAAACAATCTGAAATGGGGGACTACAATTTTGAGAGGGGGGTTGAGTATTGTTCCTAGTTCTGTCTGTGACAGGATTGCTTCCCTTGAATAGTAGATACTTAATCTCAATAGTTAAATTATCAAATTTTAAAGTCTCGATAGTTAAATTATAGTCCTTGTCTAGGCTCAAACTTTAAAAAATGAGATAATTAAACAATTTTGATTGGATAAATCCTATTATCCACTGATGCAGTACCATCTTTTCTGCACTAGATGCACATTTCAACAATAAATGTCTCATCAGTGATGATTGATGCCAAAATATTTGAAAACATAAAACTTACTAAAAAACAAGAAGTCACTCAGCTTATTAACCAAATGTTGAAATCTAAATGGTAATACTTTAATGTATAAACTATGCCAAACATTCAAAGTCAAGGAACCATTACTGAAGATACAGGGCCAAATAACCACAGTGAAAATGAGAAATACCAAAACTATAACAACTGCATACACCATTACCATTAACTTATTGTCCACTTAAACTGACCTCTGAACACAAACATTAACATGTAAAGATTTCAAATGTTTCAAGTTCAACTAACCATGGTGATAGGTGGGGTCATATACCAGTAATCTCCATGGAAATGAGATGTGCAAATGCTAATACAACTGCATTAAAGTATCATTGACCTATAGCTAGCACTAATGATTCTGCCAAACCACAATTTTTTTTTTATGTTGTGTTGTTCCACAACTGTTCCAGGTTAACATGGTTAAGGGTGGGGTAAACATATTTAACCCAACATTATGTAAGTGTCTGTTCCAAGTCAGGAGCCTGTAATTCAGTGGTTGTCCTTTGTCACTGTATATCATATTTGTTTGTTTTTTTGTTTGTTTGTTTGTTGTTTTTTTTTAAAATAAATCAGGCAATTAGTTTAAGTGTTTTGATTATTTATATAAGTCAAGAATGGGCCTTTGATAGCTTGCTAAGCAGCATGGTTTTGCTCATAGAAGAAGGCTGTACAGTGAACTATATTTTCCAACTTTAAGATCATTTGGTATCTGGTGGGAAGCTTTCTCATTGGAAATCGGTATATACCATATCTTCTTACTTTTATATTGATACATTTCTAATGCTGCTGCAGACAGAAACAACGCAACTAAGTCTTGCTATTTTCGAATTTATCATGCCAAGACAAAACTAGGTTAACTCCACAACATATATTTTGCCTGTCTCAAGTCAAGGACCTTCCAGTTCAGACAAATTTTCTTCCCTTTGGGACATCTTTAATTGACAAAAAAAATATTGTATTGTATTGTATTCATAAAACACAGAAAAGAATACTATTAACATGTCATTGGTTCATGTTTTCTCATATTTGTTTTTCCTAAATTGTTTTGTTATTAGGCTGTTAGTTTTCTGAATTTAATTGTTTATATTTTTGTGTCAGGGCCTTTTATAGCTGATTTCATGTTATGAGTTTTTCTCGTTGTTAAAAGCTGTATTGTTGTATATAAATGATAACATCCAATTCATTTGAACTTTGGTAAATAGTTGTCTCATTGGCAATAATACCACATTTCCATATTTCTATATTAAACTACAATTAAATTGTTTTTTTCTTTATATGTTTCATATACTTAATTGTGTAGGATGTCAACAATAGTTGTATAATTGTTTATCCTTCATTATGACAAACAATTTAAAAATAAGTTGGATCTCTGTTATACATTTATTGAACAATTTCTTCATTTGATAAAAATTCTCTACATTTCTTAAGAAATTTGAGACTCTGTGACCACTTCTCTGAAGGAAATTGTTGATGTATATCTGTTATAAAATTTTCTAACTTCTGGTATCTCTCAGCTACACTGAACTGACATACATGTTGAATTTTGTGTAAACAGACTGGACAATAAAACAACGGTTGGTTCATTGCATCAACCATTGACAAGCTTTCATTCATGTGACACAGAAAGAACTCACAATGTTCAAGTCCAAACAGATGTCCTAGTTCATGACTGGAAACCTGAAAATTTTCAAATTCAGAGAATCATTCAATATTTTGAGAATAATTTTCCAATTCCAAAGAATCATTTATTTCCAACAAAAGTGACAAACCTAAGTATTCTGTTTTTAATTGCTTTATTGTTTTTAATAACAGTTTTCAGAAGGTTGTTACTTTACACTGGAATAACATTGTCACCTGTTTCACTTCTGTGATGTCTATGAAGACTCTAGTATTTTATATATATAATACTTTAATTCCTGTGAATCCACCCACCTTGCTCATGTTGCTAAGTTTAGTATAATCGGGCACTTTTATTTTTATATGTCAATTAAATATTACCAGGAATTTAGGGAAAATAAAACTGCTTCAAAAACTCTTTGTTACCATTGTACTCTATAAATGGTTTATATGACCATTTATTTGTGTTCTTCAACATCTCTCTAATAATTCTGTTCCTTGAATTTTCAGTGAACTGTGAGTTTTTGTTCCCCATTAAAGGTTGCACTTTGTAAATACAGCTGTTTCTCAAACCACACCTCTTTTGGGGAGATATAGAATATTCATAGATAATTAATTTTGTTTACAAACTGGATCCCAATGGTGATCTCTATGTTTCATCTCATACAGACATAACTTGGGAACGTAAATCACCAGTAAATATACATATGCATATTGTTTATATTGAAATCTGTGGTAATCCTACTGTTAAGGTAGGGGTAGTTAAGAAATTTAGTGTTAGTTTAAACTCTTAGAAGTTCGGGGCATATAAACGTTGAAAATATGCCGCACAGCCCTATATTTTGACCTTAGAAAAAAATAGTAGTGCATATGAACTTTCCATTCTAGGATATGATTTTTTTCAAAACTTCATAGTAAAAGTGGTACAGTTTTAGTCGTAAAAGGAGTTCCTATGGGAAATTGTATTGTCAATATTTACAGAAATGCAACCTATATTGGGTGAAAAAAGAGAACATACGGAATTTATCCAAATTTGGTTTATCTCACAGGTTTTAATGAAATTAACTCAAATATGAAGTTTTATAAATATTTCATGAAGATTGAGAAAATCCTGGGCCTTAGCTATGATGACTCAGCATAAATTCACAGTTTACAGTATGCATAGTTTACATAAAGCCCTGAATGCAAAATAAATTCATCATATATGCATATTGATAGTTAAATTGTTGAGAAGTGCTTATTTTTACTCTTCGCAGTCATTGAAACTCATAGATCCTTCCTGAATATTATTGGTGGGGTGTTTTTGTACTGTCGATAACCCAAAAGTAAACCGTAACACCTAAATCTGCTTTTTTTGTCACCGCGACATAAAAAATACAAGCTAGAAATTACTTTAATATCTCAAAAAATATACATTAGTGTGTTCTATCCTGAATATGTACTAAATATTTCATATTGCTAGAAACAGCAAAATAATTGAGGGAATTTGAGGCCCCAGGGGCAAAAAACAGAGAAAATTGCCTACCCCCTGGGTCATAAAACAAATAATTTAACTTGTAAATGATATGATTTTATGATTTTAAAGGTCTTTATATAGAAAACAATAACTGTGCTTGGATTAAGTTATGCAAAAATCAGATGTTAGCAGTCATTTCTATAAATTTTAAGTGAATTTATACATCAGACTTGTATCTGCATACATACAACTATTGCAAATATGGCTTTGTTTTAACACTTCTAGTTCATATATTAGCTAAATTATGTCAGATATATGGTTAGAGATGATACTGTTGTGACAAGAATTCTTAACTGGCCATTTGAGGCAGAAATTGTGAATTTTCATTGACAAATAGGCATACAGTAAGATGTGGACTGGAGACAGAGGCAGGATTGGGTACTTTATATAATCTTGAATGTTGGAATAATTGACTGCTAAACATTACATTTACTGTAACAGTATTCTGAAATGCTTTCAATTTGTTATCAGAACAGTTTTAAACAGATTCTAGGCATTTCATGTCAGATAACATGCAAATAGGGTAAGCTGGCAATAATTAAAGTCTTGTTTTCAAATTCTTTAAAAAACTGAAACTGGGGAGGGGGTATAAAATGTACAGTAAAAGAAAACTTAGAATATATGCAGTGATTTCTATAAGGCTATAAATATGATAAATATGTATAAATGTGAGAAAAAGTGTTTTTTGAGAGTTTTCTGTTTCAATAAAGGTTTGTATAGGTTGCACTTTGTAAATACAGCTGTTTCTCAAACCACGCCTCTTTTAGGGAGATATAGAATATTCATAAATAATTAATTTTGTTTACAAACAGGATCCCAATGGTGATCTCTATGTTTCATCTCATAGAGACATAGCTTGGGAACGTAAATTACCAGTAAATATACATATGCATATTGTTTATATTGAAATCTGTGGTAATCCTACTGTTATGGTAGGGGTGGTTAAGAAATTTAGTGTTAAAAAAATAGTAGTGCATATGAACTTTCCATTCTAGGATATGATTTTTTTCAAAACTTCATAGTAAAAGTGGTACAGTTTTAGCCGTAAAAGGAGTTCCTATGGGAAATTGCATTGTCAATATTTACAGAAATGCAACCTATAGACCTCACAATGACTTTGAGATGAAGAATTGCAACAAAAGTGATGTTCCTTTGCTTTGGATCATTCTGTCAAATGTATGTAGAACTTTTATTATTATTTATTCCTATTAGTGAATTTGTTCTTTCTATTATTTTGTGTCCTACAGTGCAATCTATACAAATTACAATTTAATTACTAATATAAGAGGTATGGATTATCACAAAAGGATATATTTGCTTGTGTATAAATCAATGAAACAGCAACCCAACACAAAACATTTACAGTTTAGCATGCAGACTTCAACAAGAGATAATAGTGTAAAGTGATGATATACCCTAAATTCCCTTTGTTAGACCAAATATGTGTTCTGAGTAAACTTTAATCTGTACAATATTCTTTAGTGAACAATAACATTGTATACAAATACAACCACTGACAAGTTTCTGCATTTCACATGCACATTAACATAGAATATGTATATTATATATAGTTTTGTGAGTACTCATTCTTTATCCCTTTTTTTCTCAATCTGTATAAAAACAACAGGTTAAAATTAAAAGCCCTAGAAAAAACATGACTTAGGCAATACATGAAACAATAGATCTATAATTTAGAAGGAAATTTAATGAAACATTATATTCATGTTTCTTATTAAAATAAATTAAATTGTTTTATAAAAAATACAAGCAAGGTTGACAATTTAAATTTAAAATAATCCTGGTTGCAATCTATACACAGTGATCTTTTCCATCCCCCCCCCCATAAAAAAAAAGAAAAATTGTATTAATGTCTTTTATGTCCCTAAATTGTTTAAACTATCTTTAATCAGGAAAACATTAAACAACAGATTATTTAAACGAATAAAAAATATGTAAAACTAATAAGTGAGATATTTTAAACAAATATATTTTTGTTAATCCACAGAATGCATTTCCCTTATATTGATATATATATATATATTTACAATTTTTAATGATAGAATGATGTGTGTAGGCTTGTATTATATAACATTGATACATGTGTATGAAAATTTACCTTCAATAATCTCCACAAAATTTCAGAGGTGATTTCAGTTATATCTTTAGGATTTTTAGGGTCAAATGTTGATGGCGGACATCTTCCAAAACTAAATACACCTGACTTATGTTTACAGGAAGCTTCTCCTAAAGCAAAGTTATACTTCTCTTCAGGATATAAGTCTGTCCATGTCATACCCATAATGCAATATCCATCGGAGGGGTTGACATTTTGAAGAGGTGTAAAGAAATCCGTCACTAAATACTGCAGCTGTTCTGTTACTATATGACACCTTTCTCTAATATTCCAATCCACGTTTTTTAAGTTGATGTTATCCAACCATCGCACATCCATTCCCATGTGATAAATCTTTAAAAAATTCTCAATAAATTGAAATAATGTGTATGAACTTGACTGCAAAGTTATTCTAAAATTCTTGACGAAATCTGGGAAGTCATTTATCTGCACCAAATATATTACTCTTTTTGGTGAAGTAAATAAATGTTTTAAAAAATCTAAATCCAAACTCGATTTCCACTGAACATATGTTTGATGACAAAATAATTTCTTCTTCTTTGGTAATGGTTTGAATATTTGTGAATCACTGTCTTTATTTTTACAATTCTTGACAGTATCAATATCAGAGTTATCTCCCCTTCCATCAGCTTGATCTAAGTATATTTGACTGAGGTTAAAAAAATGCCTTTCATCAGGGGGTTTCCCATTTAATTTTCCAATTAGGAAAATGGATTCTGAACTCTGTGTGGAAAACAAACTACCCATTGCATTTCATCTGTCTGACAACTCTGAAATATAATTTTTAAATTATTTTTATATTTTATTGGTAATTATTAGCAATGTGTTTAAGTCCATATCACACATTTAAAGTGCATGAACTGTAATGTATACATATGTAATGTTTAATATTGATTCACTCATAGGGTCTTTGCATCGGAAATAAACACATTTATTGTAAACCAGATATTGGCATGATACGGGTTATGTTCTTTTCATATATTTTATGATGGTATGATACTAAACCGCTAACGGGAGAAATTGTGCTTAATTTTCATATGATGAAGACATAATCTTTCAATCAGTTTAATTGAGGTCTGGAGCTGGCATGTCAGTAACTGCTAGTAGTCCTTTGTTAATTTATGTATCATTGTCATTTTGCTTAGTTTCTTCTGTTACCTATTCTGACATCAGACTCAGACTTCTTTTAAACTGAGTTTTACTGTGTGTATTGCTGTGTGTTTGTTTATTCTACATTGGCTAGAGGTATAGGGGAGGGTTGAGATCTCACAAAACATGTTTAACCCCGCATTTTTGCACCTGTCCCAAGTCAGGCGCCTCTGGCCTTTGTTACTCTTGTATGTTTTTTTTTAATTTTAGTTCATTTATATGTTTCGGAGTTTAATGTGTAATCCGTTTTCACTGAACTAGTACACATTTTTGTTTAGGGGCCAGCTGAAGTCCGCCTCTGGCTGCGGGATTTTCTCGCTGTGTTGAAGAACCATTGGTGGCCTTGAGCTGTTTTCTGCTCTTTGGTTGGGTTGTTGTCTCTTTGACACATTCCCCATTTCCATTCTCAATTTTACTGTCTAAATTTAATTGACAAAAAAAAAAGAAGGGTTTTGTAATATGAAAAGAATGAATGCAGTAATAATTTAGCAATGCAGTTAATCTTTCCACCCTTGATTAGTCTTTCAACCTTAAATAAATGGTTAATGATTAATTATACAAAAAAAAGTTCAGTTTTATTTTTATTCTGTTATTTTAACAATTATAAAAAATAAATTTATATTTAAGATTGTGTATCCTAATGGCACAACAAACATGTCCACTCCATAAGTGTACTCTGCTCCAAGACAGTCAGGTTTTTATTTTAATCAATAACACAAGGAAATGAATAACAACATTTCATTTATGCAAGAAAATATATATGAATAATCAAAATATTCTTTGTATGCATAGTTCTTGCCAAGTTTTGTTATGGTAAGCCAAAGTTTGGTAATGGTAATCCAAGTGATTTCAGAGTAAAAACATTAATCTTGTATGTGCTCAACAACATACTAGGATTTTCAATTCCGGAGGGAGATATACGTTTTCTGATTTAAATGAAACATTTGACAAAGCAGTGACCTAGCTAGACAAAAGTAGAGGCACTCTCTGTTTGTTCTGTGCTCCCCTCTGCTCTTATAGGTTGTCATAGACCTGTTGGTAGTGGACTATCATTGAATCCTTTAGAGTTAATGAGTTCCCATCTGCCTTATCTGTCCAGTAGCCATTGCCTCAATTTAAGCTTTATTTAGATGAAAAATATTGTATGTAAGTTTCTAGTTTATACCGGTAATAAAATAGTTATGTAATTGTGCTTTAACTGAGGTTGCAACTCACTGACACAATTGGCCTTACATGGTTTTGGCTATTCTACTTCATTCCTGTGGGATTTTGAGTTTCTAAATATTTTATATATTTGGCTTTCCCAACTTATTATAATAAACTTAACAAACTGACCTAATGAAGTTATTCCAGAAACTTGTTCTGCATACTTCAAATTGAAGGATGATCAAATCCCCATCTATGGTATTCAAGTAAGTATGCATTGGGTGTGGATTTTGTGGCTTTAGAAAGAAGTAAGAAGAAACTTATTCTCTAAAATACTTTAATATCTGAAAAATCTTGGGAAGAATCTATGTGGGTGTTCATGATGTATAAAGTAAGTTGCACCTTTTGTATTCACTGAATGTTAAATATAATTACCATAGGCTTATCTATCTTGAAATCATACCTCTACCTGGACCTCATAGAAGAAATCCACTTAACAACTCTTCTTTGGAATTGAATTTATCAGACATTTTTCTCACAAATAATAAGGGCCCTGTATCAAGCTGCATCACTGTCTGTCCATCAACAATTTTTGTAAACGCCAAAAATCCAATAGTGTATGTAGGATTCTAATGAAAGTTTGCACTGTTGTTGTGCATAATATATTTTGGTGAAATTTCAGCTCATTTATTTTGGGAAAATACTATTTTTAGTTTAAAAATTACCGATTTGGAGAAAAAGATTTTGTTAAGGCAAATACTTCAAAAGTATAGGTAGGAGGGCAATGAAATAAATTCCCAGTGACAAAAAAAGATTTTTGTGAAATTGGAAAACAAATTGTGATAAAAACTTAGTTTTTGTTAAAAATATATAAATTTTGTGAAACTTTTGTGTGGTTTATGAAAATGTCATTAGTTCATGGGATTTAAAAGTCATGATTTTTAGATAAATATATTAGATCTCAAAGGAAAATATGTATTTCATGAGGTACTTAATTTCAATTCCGCTTGAACCACAAATTCCAAGAAAAATTGATAACCCCCAAACATGCATTGCTTCCTTTGCATCAATATAAAGTATTTGATTCTGTCACTTCTGTGTCTCAAACAAATACACCAGTGGGGCCCTTGCTGACATGTCAGTTCTCTAATTTATTTAGTACTATTAAATTCGTAATTCTTAAGAAAAAATTAGGAGTATGAAAAATATGTGAGCTTGAAATATCATAAATAAAATTTGAGATGGGGATATTAATTAAAAGAGCTATGGAACTTACAAGGCCACCACAGGGTCTGCAACACAGCGAGAAAATCCCGCACACGGTATTGCTTACTTTCCCAATACCTATGTCCTTTAACTGTCTGCCTTAATTTTCAATAATTATAATAGAAAAACAAAGGATATGTGGTATCCATCCAGGACACAAAATCAGTGCATGCACAGCAAAATGCACACAAAAAGCAAAGTAACAGTGCTTGTATTGCTGTTCTTCATCTCTAAGTCACAATGAGGCCTTCAACACAGAGCAAAAAAACACTCACCTCACTGCAAGCTTAAGACGGCTCCTAGCAAAGGTGATCCTTGTAGAACACATTTTTACTGATAATTTTGAATAACACAAAAATGTATGAATGAATTCTAAAATTGAGGAAATATATTGCCTGTTTCTCAGTTATGAAGTACCTGCATGGTTTGGTGTATCCAAATTTCTGGTTACCAGTATTGTCTGATGTGTACATAAAGGTATAATGGTAAAGCAAAATATTGTCCTCCATGACTATGTATCGTGAAATATTGTCCTAATCTATAAAAAACTGTCCAGAGTAGGACAAATTTCCATAGTGAAATTTTGTCTGTATATAGGCAATATTTCACAGATGAATACTATGAAATTTGTCCTGTTAAAGGGAAGTTATATTTTGTGTGCATTGAGACAATATTTCATAGACAGATTATCATGAAATTTTGTCTCATGAAGGGGAGGTTATCAACAGATATCATGTTGGATAATGATATCATTAAAGTGTTTTATTTGACTGATAACTAATAAACACAAATTAATATTCCAGTTACATTGTACTACTGTACCTCCAAAACACTGTCGCAAAAAGATTCGTCAATCTAGTATTTACGAATACTATTAGTACTTTCAATTTTAAACATAAATAAGTGATTGTCAGTACATAACTTATATTTATACAGTATAATGTACTTACAATGGAACATGAGTTACAATTTATGACAAAAATCAGCAAAGACCCATCGAAACAACATCTGATAAACAAATTTAATAATACTTTTAGATATTTGGATGATATTTTGGCTCTCAATAATGACGACTTCAGTATGTATACTAAAGAAATTTATCCTGTTGAACTTACTTTAAATAAAGCTAATACTAACAATGACCACTGCCCTTTCCTCGATCTTGATATCTATATCATTAATGGAAAGCTTAATACTAAAATATATGATAAAAGAGATGATTTTTCATTTCCTATTGTTAATTATCCATTTTTAGATGGTGACGTTCCCTTGTCACCATCTTACGGTGTTTATATATCTCAACTTGTACGATTCGCTCGTGTATGTAACAATGTTTTAGATTTCAACGAGAGAAATTTATGTATTACTGAAAAATTATTACACCAGGGTTTTCGATATCACAAACTAGTCAAAACATTTACTAAATTTTATCATCGGTATAAGGATATCATTCGTAAATATAGCTCAACATGCAGACTTCTTATACGTTCAGGTATTTCACATCCAATTTTTTATGGAAATATTCTTTATAAAGCACAAAAATGTCAGTATTCACCTCTGAAGCTAACAAAACCTTTAAATAGACTTATTAAGAAGGGATATAGTTACGATACTGTTGTCAGGTCATTAAAGATTGCATATTTTGGCGTTAATATCGATTCACTTATAGGGTCTTTGCATCGGCACTAAACACATTTATTTAAAAACCAGTTGTTGGCATGACACGGGTTATATTCTTCTCATATATGTTATGATGGTATGATACTAAACCCCTAACTGGAAGGATTGTGCCTGATATTCATATGATGAAGACATAATCTTTCAATCAGTTTAATTGAAGTCTGGAGCTGGCATGTCAGTTAACTGCTAGTAGTCTGTTGTTATTTATGTAGTATTGTCATTTTGTTTATTTTCTTTGGTTACATCTTCTGACATCAGACTCGGACTTCTCTTGAACTGAATTTTAATGTGCGTATTGTTATGCGTTTACTTTTCTACATTGGCTAGAGGTATAGGGGGAGGGTTGAGATCTCATAAACATGTTTAACCCCGCCGCATTTTTGCGCCTGTCCCAAGTCAGGAGCCTCTAGCCTTTGTTAGTCTTGTATTATTTTTAATTTTAGTTTCCTGTGTACAATTTGGAGTTTAGTATGGCGTTCATTATCACTGAACTAGTATATATATTTGTTTAGGGGCCAGCTGAAGGACGCCTCCGGGTGCGAGAATTTCTCGCTGCATTGAAGACCTGTTAGTGACCTTCTGCTGTTGTCTGTTCTATGGTTGGGTTGTTGTCTCTTTGACACATTCCCCATTTCCATTCTCAATTTTATATGTTAGACAATTCTTTAATCTATAATTAACAAGTTATAAAATATCTATGCAAATTTGAAACTAGCTTATGTTAAAATAAATATTAGTTTGATATATATAGAATAATTTCAGTTATAAATCTAAAAATGTGCATGCTGCATGCATGCAAACTATCATCAGAAGTTATTTCACCGTCAATAGCTTATATTATAAATAGGAGTATCACTACTGGTATATTTCCTTCTGAGCTTAAAAATGCCCATGTCATGCCAAGTCATAAAAAGGGTCCTAAAGATACTGTTGACAACTATAGACCAATATCTATTTTGCCTACTCTTTCAAAGATTTTTGAAAAGCATGTCTGCAAACACCTATACGGATACCTATTAAAATATAAGCTCCTTCATGCAAGTCAGTCTGGATTTAGAAGCCACCACTCTTGTCACACTGCTTTACTAAAACTTATTGATCAGTGGTTCAAAGCCATTGATGATGGAGAAATTATAGGTATTATCTTCCTAGATTTTAAAAAAGCATTTGATCTGGTAGATCACATTATCCTTCTTAAAAAACTGCAGTGATACAAAATTTTAAATTTATCATGTAACTGGTTTAAATCATATCTATCTCATAGATTCCAACAAGTTGAAAATGGGACAATCAAGTCAAGGGCACTAGAAATAAAATCTGGAGTACCTCAGGGCTCCATATTGGGCCCCCTTTTATTTTTATTGTTCATTAATGATTTGCCCCTTCATATAACCTCATCTCAAGCAGACCTCTATGCAGATGATACTACCATCCACTGCACAGGTCGTAGTCTCAATACCATCCTGGACAGCATTACAAATGATTTAGACAGAATTGAAGAATGGTGCAAGGGAAATAAGATGTATATAAATCCAACAAAAACTACATCTATGGTTATTGGTTCTAGACAGAAACTAGCAAAAACAGACCATGTTCTTAATTTGACTGTTGGTAACTCCCACATTAGAGATGTTAATGGCGAAAAGCTCCTAGGGGTTTTTATTGATGAAAATCTTGAGTGGACAGCCCAAATTGACACTTTGTGCACAAAAATCAGTACCAGGCTAAATCTTTTGTCTAGGATAAAGAAATCCCTCCCCCTGGAAACACGAAAGTTATACTTTAATGGTTATATTCTCCCTATTTTGGATTACTGTTGTACAATTTGGGGAAACACCAGTGACCAAAATACAAAGATTAGATAAACTTCAAAAACGAACAGCTAGAATTATTCTTGAACTTCCTTATGATACCCCATCTAATACAATGTTTAAAAAGTTATCATGGCTTCGATTTACTGATCGTGTAATTTACCACAAGGCCTTATATGTTCATAGATGTTTATATGGATCTGTCCCAGAATATTTGTCTAACAAAATCTCCTATGTTACAAATAAAAATGGAATGCAACTTAGATCAAATACTACCCAATTACTTAATATACCAAAGGCAAGAACAAACACATTAAGAAGATCTTTTTCATATTCTGGCCCAACTTTATGGAATAAACTACCAGAAGCACTAAGACACATGTCAATCATAAATACTTTTAAAACAAACTGCTTCAAGTTTTTACTTGAAAATCCAGGAATTATTAAATGATTATGTATCAATGTTGATTATGTTTTCTTATGTTTATCTTTGTTACGAAGAAATTGTGTGATGCATTGTGAGTGGTGTGTGAGGGCCTCAAGGGAGAATAGTGTTTGTACTAATTGAGCATACCCTCTTGAAATAAAGATTATTATTATTATTATTATTATTATTATTGTGTACAATTTTTATTTTGTAATAGTATTTCATAGTGAAATATTGTCATGGACAAAAAATGACACTATTTCATAATGAAATATTGTCCTGGAAAGTATTTCATTATGAAATAGTGTCCACAGACAATATTTTATATGTCCGGCAGACAATATTTCATGGGGGACAATATTTTATGTTACATTATTACTCCACTTGTACATGTGATATTTTGATGGTTTCTTTCTAAATTTGATGATCTTACATTTTTTTTAAGATTTTATGCAGATTATAAATTATGTTTTTTTAGTAAAGCCATAATATAATAATTATATGTCCCTGTTGTTAGGGATAAAAATCCAGCATTATATATAATTTTAACATATAAAATTATTCATGGTTTTAAAATAAAATTGTACAAATCAAATAATTGTCTTCATCACGAATGTAACTGTCATTTTATAACAAGAAACACAAGAAATGTTATCGTAGTCACAAACTGGCACACTTCAAAGGTAATTATGGCAATTATAAAAAAAAAAAAAATAGAAAAAAGCAAAATTGTATTAAAAAAGCAAATGCAGGTCAGGAAATATATGTTTTTGGGCGAAATTGCTGGTGATACATTTTGGTGACATCAAGATTTTACACAGTGAGTGTATGAGAATCAGTGCAACCTGTACTGTAGATGCACAAGATGGTCAGTTAACAAAGGTAATTGTAACCCAGAAGTCAGAATTTTTACAGGGACCTGGGACTGATTATATACTATGTCCCAGCAGGGACTAAGTCTAAAAGTCATTAAGTATTTATTTCCGAATTCTAGTCACTTCGGCACCTGGTTAAATCGGCACCTGGTCAATTCGGTACCAAGTCAAATCGGGACCTTGTTAATTCGGCACCCGAGGTAGTCATTTCGGCACACAAAATTAACATTATGTTTAGCAAGTTAACTGTGTATCATGACTATACACCTTATCGCTATTTTGAAATCTGTCCCGCTTGACCCGAGAATCTGTCCCACTTGAGCTATTGACGTCATACAACAATCACTTTTCCATTGTGGCGTCAGATATTTTCTATTATGACGTAAAAATTTTACTGGAACTTTTGTGATGTCCAGCAATGGCGGACAAATAGCGATAAGGTGTATTGAAGACTGTTAATTTCCATATTTTTTTAAAATATTTTCACTTGAGGTGTTGATCGACGTATATTTGTCTAAAAATACTTGAATTTGATTGGTCCGTTAGCATTGTCCCCCTTGGTTTACACTTCGATAGACCATGTTGCCGAAACTATTTTCGTAACCTTCACTGTGATCTATTCATGCAGATGTATGGGATTAAAGAGTTCAAGCAAATTGAGATTTAATTTTTTTTTTTTTTAAATACATATATAAACTGTTAGTTTCTTGTAGCCTTCAAATTTGGATAACATCTCATTGAAATGAAGTTTTTGATGTAGGTGTTAATTAATTTTATGTTTTATTGAATTAATCGAACATAAATGGATTTCAGACAGACATTATGCATGGCGGCAAACTCCTAAGTTACGAAATGTCAATTATGCATTTGATGGTTACAAAACAGTAGCCAATGTACCAAAAATTGTTAAAGAAAAAATTCAAATGTTTGTTTTAAGAATTATAAGGATTAAACACATTTTTCTAGAGGTTATTGATGTGTAAACTGGGTCGCTGACTCACAAACTTTACATAAAAGTCAGTGTGTGAGTTAATCGCCCCAGTTTACACATCAACTACCTCTAGAAAAAAATCTTTAATCCTATAATAAAAACCGAAAAACTATTCTCAAATAAAAAAGAAGGAAAACGGTAAAATTAATATTTGGTGCCAGTTGAATAACCAAATGCCGAAATGACTTTAAATAGGTGCCGATTTGACTAGATGCCGATTTGACCAGGTGCCGATTTGACTTTTTCTTTAAGAGCCGAATTGACCAGGTGCCGATTTGACTTGTACCCTTATTTCCTGGATTTCACATTTTCAGAATCATCAAATTCAAGGAATTAAAATTAACTGCATGTTTCTGTTTCTACTGAAACTAAATTATGTGTAGAACTGAAGCTAGGCAAGTTACCTCTTTAGTGTATTGACGATTTTAATCAAGTGATTATCAGAAGCTTTTCAATTTTACCCAGATCTTCTTTTACAGGCCACCTGGCAACATGTAAACTTCCGTATGGTGAATATATAATTAAAATTCCTAAACAAAACGAAACAAAGGATAAGCTCATATTTACAACAATTTATCTAACATTGAGCTATCAAGTATATTAATAAAGAGTAAAAAAATATGTTTTTATTATGTCACCTAGTTTTTGGGAGAGAAAAATTTGAATTTGTTTTTACAATGTGACAATAATAAGTAGTTTCGTTTTGTAAGAAAATTTGGTTTGTTATTATATGGGAATAACACACACATGCAGGAAAATGATTTTACATTAACAGTAAGTTATAATTCAATTTACGTTTTGAATTGATACACAAGAATTGATTTATCCTGTATTTGAAATCTTTTTACTTATTTCAAGCAAAATTAATTGATTTTATTGAGTAATGCACATTTTTATTTTGCTCAATTGTTGTTTTGAAACATTTATGGAAGTCTTAAAAGAAGCTGGTAAGAGGAGCCCTAATTAACCTTCAATAGTAATTTTATAAATCAAAGAGGCAAAGAATACAGAATAATCCTGAATGTGTAATTTAAAATATACCCACAGGTATAATTTTACTTACCTCAGCAGCCTTTGAGGTGGTTCACTCATGTGTCTAGGCAGTATAGGGACTGCCAGTATATACATGTATATCTGGGTCTGTTCACCCAAAATTATTTGCTCCCATTCACGATCGCCCCCTTTCACATTGGCACTCTTTTTATTGGTTGTGTGTTGAATACACTTTTAATCAAGTTTAAGTATTGCTATAAATAAGTTTTTTTTTTTAATGTTTCCTCAAAATAAAGGGACATTCTTAAAACGTAAACAGGTTTCCTTTAGTGTTTTATTAATTATTTTGACTAAATAAATCATGAATAAAAGATTGTCATGAAGATTAAGGCAATGTTTATTCATCTAAGATTTGTATTAAAATGAAAGGGTGCAATCAACAGTTTTTTTCTATGACGTCATATTTTAAGGGACCATGCCTAAGTGACCCTTAGTGGTGGAATGGTTAATAAAGATACTTGTATAAAACTAGATATTACTGGAATTAGAATTTTCTCTAGTTTATATTGAAATAAAAATATACTGTACTTTTAATATAGTAAAAAAGTTCTATCCAGAGAAAATGGGGAAAAAGTTGCCTAATCTGAACATAAAAAACCTGAAATCAGGTCATGTGCATACCCATGTAAACATGATACAGACACATTTCCCATAATCAAAACTGTATGAAATTCATAGGTTTTTACCTGGCCTTTAATAAAAATCTTGTTTCAGGGTACGGTTTCCTGCTTCGAAAAGAGCTACAGTGGCTGCAAATAAGTTTTCAATTTTCACTGCCAAAAAAACAGGATGTTTACAGTGTTGTCTCCCCTCAAAACATGAATATTTAATCAATTTTTTAAAATTATTTTAATCATTCAACCTGTTTAATTTGAAAGCTAATTAACTAATTTTTACAATTGAATACAAAAAACATGATACTTTTTCACCAATTATATGAATAAAAAGGGATTTCCCTCCATGGTTATTTTTAGTCGGGGAATAACCCCTAGTTTTTTATACGAAACTGTTTATAGCACCCAAAGGCAGAAGATATCAAATCTTTATTGAGTTTACTCATACCCAGCTAACTACATGCAGTATTTACATCAAAGCTAGTTATAACAACAACCATGATTTTCAAACACAGACCAAATTCAATTATACAAAATTTCATCATTAAAATTTAATTATTAATTATCAAATCACAAAACAAAACAAAACAAAATTTCATATAAAATTTTTCAAATTTTTATTTATGAAATTTATGTATTTTGATAAATATATTTAAAAACATCTAATGATTCAACCAGTATTTGAATAAGAAATAAGGTGCAAATTTGTGGTGTGTGAACGTGTTAGAGTGTGAACGTGTTTTGGGAGTGAACGGACCTGATACCTGACTGCAAATTGTCAAATAAAAAATATCACATGGACCATAAGAGCTGCAGTTCTGCAGCTACATTGTGTAACTATGACCTAGACCAGCCACCTCCCACTTCAATCCAGTATTTACTGTCCCATAAATTATTTTGATATTATAGCTATGTATGTTTTATTTAAGAACATTATGTTTTTAAACAAGATCATCTGACTGAAAGTTTTATCGCCACCTTTTTTTAATAAGGTTTTTCAGGGCCAACTAGTCAACCATCTACTTTTTCAGCTCCCTGTGGGAGCTTATATTCATTGCACTCTCTCCATTAGCTGCACAAGTGAAGTATACCAGAACATCTGATCCCTACTGATATTAAGTATGACATCACTGACAAAAAGTTAGAAAAGAGATGAAAAGTAAAAGGAACTCTGGTAACACTTAGAAGTAGGGAAGCAGGTGGTTATTATCATCAGATTCTTAATTGAATAAACATCTGAATTTTAGTATTTGACCCCTGTTCTATTTAATAATATTCTGATGATAGATTGTACAAGAAATCTAACTAGAATAATCAATTGTAAAATTTTATAATCAGTTAAAATTTTAAATTTGGGAAGCTCACTTTAAATTTTAGCAGCATACATATGTACTTAATCTATCTAAATTTAAAAAACGCATTTTCTACAATTAAGACATTATTGTCTGCTGGATCTAAAAAGATTGTTTGCTTGCTTCCAGTGGGAAATATTACATACATGTTCCTGACGAGAAACTATTTACAGTTAATCTTTTACATATAGGTAGGTTCTGCAAGGTCGGACCACATGTATTAAAGTAGGAAAATTTAGGCTGTCACTGGAACACAATAGTATGTTGAGAACAGTTGACAGTTCAGAGAACCAGGTTCATACTCCGTCTCTACATAATTTATGTAAATCTTAAATACAAATATAACCATCTTTAAGTAAATCAGATTGTGTGTTCTCCAGTTAGTAAAGACTCAAATTCAATCAATACCAATGATTTTACATTTTTTTAGATGCTTAAAAAACATCAAAGACAATGCAATGGAATATTTTCTACTTTCTGACATAACTCCAAATTTGAACCATTTTTACTGCAATAATGTTCTTAAACAAAATGCACATCCATTTATATTTAATATTTATGTATGTACATACATTTCATGTCATACACCTTTCTTTTGGTACAACTACATGTAGATGATTAGTGGATTGTTACATTTGATACAAATATTGATTATTTGCATTAATGTGTAAACTATTTTGGATAAAAAGGATACTTGTGTATAGGAAAAAAGTTATTCAAGCGTGTTGACTTCAAGATATTAGCTTCATCATCTGAAATGTGAAATTACATTAAAAACTGTTTATATCCCTGAAGAATCAGGGATTTTGTTTTTTTTGTGTCTCTTTGTCCTCCATATTTGCTCAGGTTGGAGTGTTTAAAATTAAATGTAAAAAAGGTCAGAAAATATCAGCAGATACAAAACAAATACTCCATTTTAACAAGCCAATTTTTGTTTTACACATCAGAGTGTGTTCATGGGAATGTGTTGTTCCTTCTTTATTCCAAGTTTATAGTTGTAAATTACATGTTTATAATGTGTATCTTTTTATTGTCCCCTGTTTAATGAGAAGCAGGAAGCGTAGAAGAATCAGACATTCAAAATATAAGTTTAAATGTATATATTGAAAATTGCATGGACTTTGTAAGAAGTCTCAAGCCTACATTTCTTGACAGATTTTTATGACATTTATATCAGTAATGTCTTTGAAAAGCAGTGCTAACCAACTCTTTTAAAAGAACCATCTTTGCATCGGAAATAAACACATTTATTCTAAAACCAGTTGTTGGCATGGTACAGGTTATGTTCTTCTCATATATTTTATGATGGTAAGATACTAAACCCCTAACATGAGGGATTGTGCTTGATTTTCATATGATGAAGACATAATCTTTCAATCAGTTTAATTGAGGTCTGGTGCTGGCATGTCAGTAACTGCTAGTAGTCCTTTGTTAATTTATGTATCATTGTCAATTTGCTTAGTTTCTTTTTTTCCCTATTCTGACATTGGACTCAGACTTCTTACTGTACCTATTGCTTGTGTTTCTTTATTCTACATTGGCTAGAGGTAGAGGGGGAGAGTTGAGATCTCACAAAACATGTTTAACCCCGCATTTTTGCACCTGTTCTAAGTCAGGAGCCTCTGGCCTTTGTTAGTCTTGTATGTTTTTTAATTTTAGTTCATTTATATGTTTTGGAGTTTAGTGTGACGTCCATTTTCATTGAACTTGTACACATTTTTATTTAGGGGCCAGCTGAAGACCCATTTGTTTTCTGCTCTTTGGTGGGGTTGTTGTCTCTTTGACACATTCCCCATTTCCATTCTCAATTTTATATTTCCCAGTTCATTTCTTTATATAGGGTTTAAGGAAAATCAATGGCAAGAGGTGGGGACCCAGTTCACTCAGACAGAGATGCATCAAATAGATTATATAATGAAAAAAAGGAAAAGTTTCTTAACATATAAGGAATTTCAGTAGAATGCAGATTATCAGTTCTCTATAAGACGTAACATGACAGACATTTTATTAAACTACTGTAGCAATATTCATATAAAAGGATTAATCTGACTAGTCAAGATTATAACACTAAAGAATTTAAACAGAAAAGATTAAAACTGAATGAAAATAACTTGTTGTACAAAATAATGCTGGATAAAATTTACACTTATTGACATGTCATGATAGGGCTAAATTCAAGTGTCTTAAAGAATTAAAACCTTTTCTCCAACACAAATATGTACATGTACATATGATTGTAAGATTTTTGTTAATTTTGTCAATACTTATTTATATACTGTAAATTCAGAAATAAGTGTATGCATTTATTATTGCGAATCCTTGATCTCTGGCAAAAATGTTAAATCTAATTAATGTGATCGATTCCAAAAAGTTTATGAAGGAAAATTACTGCTAATATTACAAATGCAAGTTTTATTGATGCGAAAGTGGTACTGTAAGTATTTTTCGCATTAAGAAAAACATTTCAATAAATTCTGATA